GCAGGTCAGTGCAGAGCCGCCGCGGCCGCCGCCGCCGCCGCCTCGACCCCCTTGCAGACCTGTCTGTGACGAAGTTGATGGCAAACTGCGCCAGCAGGTGCGCCTTCTTGGGGTCCCGCGCCAGCAGCGCCTCTCGGTGGCTCTTCAGCGGCTCGCTGCTCAGCATGGCCAGGCAGGGCTGCGGGCGGGCGGGTGGCGGCAGGGGAGCGCGGCAGGCGTTCGGCAGGGGCGCGGCGGGCACAGCAAGGAGGCACCAACGGCGCTGCACGCTCGCCGCTGAGCTGCGGCCGCGCCTCCGGTCGCGGCCCCAGAGCCCCGCCCCAACCTCAGCGCCCCGCCACATGAGCGACCAGATGCACACACACACGCGCACAGATCCACACACACACACACACACACACACACACACACACACACACACACGTGCACGCACACGCACGCGCACAGATGCACACCACCACCGCCGCCACCACCCAACCTTGAAGGGCTGCTCCACATTAAACTGGAAGTCCAGGGCATACAGCAGCGCCCGCTCAGCCTGGAACACCTTCTCGCGCAGCCCCTCATACAGCTCCTGCGGTACACAGGAGCGGTACACGTCAGCGGTACACAGCGCGGCACAAAGGAGGGTGGCAGAGGGGTCCATGGAGCGACACTGGCACAGAGCTCGGCAGGCAGGGCAGCCAGATCTGTGCAACTAGAGCGGGTCGCCAGCCGCAGTGGCGGCCCAGCTGCTGCTAACCCCCAGGGCAGCGCGGCGGCGGCGGCGGCAGCGGCAGGGTCGGCATCGGAGGCCACCGGCGCCGCACACCCGCTCGTGCTGCAGGCGGCGGGCGCCGTCTCGGTAGCGCAGCTCGCAGGATGCCATCAGCACATCCCGAACCGACTTGGGCGAGTCCTCCACCTTGCCTCCCAGGTACAGGCAGGCCACGCTCATGAGCTGCAAAGCAGGAGGCAGGAACGCGGCGGCGCGGCGTGAGTAGGGGACCATGGGCTGGGGCTCGTGCACACAGCGCGACAAGGCGCGGCGCCGGCGGCAGCAGCCCAAGGTCCCAAGGACGCACAAAGGGGTCGTTGCGCACGAGGGACTTGGTGGCGTAGAACGTGTGCAGGAAGACGACCCCGGTGGCGATGGCGATGTTGTCCCTGCAGGGAGGCGCGCAGCGGGGAGGGAAGCGGGCGGCCGCGGGCGGGCGTCAGTCAGCCCATGGCCACGCCCTCGACCCACGACGCTGGTCTCCGCTCCCCGGCATGCGCACATCTGCAGCCGGGTGCCCGCGTCGATGAGGGTGTTGATGGCGGTGCGTTTGAAGGCCACAACTTGTGCCGGAGTGAGGCCATCCCGCAGGGAAGGGTTCTGCGCCCCCAGGAGCATTGCTACCGGTCTCTGAAGATTCGGGATGGGCCGATGGGAGGCCTGGGCTCCCCAATTCTGCACGAAAGGCCTGTACTTCGCTTGTACCTACCTGCGGCACCAGAAACTGCCCTGCGCGCCCTCCGCGGCTGGATTCCAGGCTCCCTCCAGTGCGCAGGAATCGGCCAGGCACCGGAGCTGCCTGTGAATACCCACATACCTCGGCTGAAACAGAAACTGCTTCCCATGGAGCTCCTGTGCAGCTGAGCTCCCGCGGCAGCTCCCGCGGGCTGACCACAATCGTGCCTGGAGCCGCAGCCCGCCCCGCGCCAGCCTGGGGCAGCCACCCCCGCCACCGCCCGCCTGCGGCGGCTGCCGAGGCGCCATGTTTGGCCTGCAGCACCTCTTCTGCTGGGTGCCTAGGCGGCGAAATATACGCAGAGAGCGGCATGGAAGCACTGAGCAGGATCCTGGAGCAGGAGGGGAGAAGCGGCGGCGGCGGCGGCACATCCGCAGATACATACACGCCAAGGCCGGCGGCCTAGGTGCGGCGAGGGCTGCGAGGCCGGCAGCAGGGCAGGCGCCCAGCGGCTGCTTGCTTCCATGGCTGCTGCCTCTGCTCTTCGCCTCGCTGCAGACTGCAGGGTGTGTTTGTGCTTGGCCTGGTGTGTCGCCCTGACCCCTGCCTGCATGCCCGATCGCCTTACTGCCTGGATTTCAGCCCCTGTGCGTGTGCCGACGGCAGGCGACGCAGACGGCAGCCAGGCCATCAGCCCGGTCTCGGGGGACGGCCGTCTTTCCATGGCCTTTAGTGAGTCTTCAGCCGCAGCCCTGCTGTGACGGAGCCGCCAGGGCAAGCCAGGCCGCTGCGGCTGCACACCCCGCTGACCTAGCCCTCTGCCGCTGCACACCTACCCAAGCTGCCTCGTGACAGCTCTGCCTGCCATCTCTGCCATCATCCAGCCCAACATTAGGAAAAAGAAAAAGATTCATTTTAAACTAAGCAAGTAAGTGAAGCAACAAACGTGTGGTGTACTGCAGGCGATACAGAGTATCACGATGCGGTGGAGTGGCACGAGGGCGACGCCTCCTTCACCAGCCGCTCCTCAGCCGACGACAGCCACCTGAGCTCCCCCACCGGCTCCTACGCCGACGGCCAGCAGCCCGCCTCGCCCACCGTCTTCTCGCGGCTGGCGACGTGGTGGGAGGGGCGGCGCGCCTCGGGCCCGCACCAGGCCCAGGGCTCGCCCGGCGCGGGCGACGAGGTCACGCCTCGCTCCGGCGCCTCCCACCCGCGCAGCTCCTCTGTTGGCTCCCCCAGCACGCCGGTGCGCCGCGCCCGCCGCCGCCCGCCGCCATCCGTGTGCCGCCGCTGCGCCTCGGCCGACCCTTGTGCCGCCCAGGCTGCTGCTGGTCCTCTGGCCAGCATGGCAGCTGGCGCCTACCAGCCTGCCTGCCTGCCTGCCTCACCTGCCTGCCTCCACCCCCACCATCCCTCCTCCCACCCCCAAACACACCACCACGCCCTCCGCCATGCGCCGCCACCCCACCACCGCTGCCCACACCAATTTCAATACCTTCCCGCCGCCTGCAGCCCGTGCCCGCGGACGAGATCATAGAGCCCTCAGCAGACGGCAAGATCGGCTGCATGTCACTCTTCACGGTCGCCTCTGCGGGCCTCGCGCACAAGAAGTTCCTGCGCCTCGGCAAGCCCGCGGCGGGCAGCTCATTCCGGGTGAGGTGGCGGCGGGGTGTCCGGGGGCGGGGCCTGTAGCTGGCTGGGCCTCTGTGCTGGCGTGTGCTGGGTTGGTTGGGCCTCTTGGCTGGTGTGTGCTGGGTTGGTTGGGCCTCTGTGCTGGGTTTAGGGTGAGTGGGTGGGTACGGCTGTGGCTCGGTGCGCATATGGTGCGTCTGCTGAGTGCCCTGCCGCCCACCCGTGCTGCCCACCCGTGCTGCCGTCTTGCTGCTATCTCCGCTGCCTCTCCCGCCTGCGATGCGCCTCGCGGCTGCTACCACTGCAAGCTTGGCAGGAGTGTTTGGCTGGTGTGTATGCTGCCCACTCTCAGACAGCGCCGCTGCACAGTACCCCCCAGCAGTGCCGCTGGCAGCCTGGAGCCGCGCCGGGCACCCGTGTGCCCCAACGGGCTGCCTGCCTCATGCAGAGCGCGGCGGAGGAGCGGGGCGGGGAGGCGACCCCCGCCACGCCACCGCAGCTGCACCCGCCGCCGCAGCGGCAGTCGGTGGTTGACAAGCTGGTGGCGAGGCTGTCGTCGGGCACTGGCCGGCCCAGCTCGCCGCTCCTGGAGCGACTGCTCCTCAGCCCGGCAAGCACAGGGTTGGCGCCCCTCCCTCGTTTGCTCGCTCTTCCGTGCTTGCTTCTTCTGCCGCGTGCTGTGCAGGCCCACCCGCTGCCCTCTCACTCCCCCCTGCTGCCTGGCAAAGGCCTGCACCCCAAGCCCTGCCGCCCACACACCCGCCCACGCGCCAGCCTGCGCCGCGTTCGAGGCGCCCACATGCCTCCTGCTGACTGAGCCTGCGTACGCGCCCGCCCTGTGCTTGCCCCCCGCCTGCCCCGCCTGTAGCAAAAGTCTGTGGATGAGGAGACTGGCAGCTGCGCGGCGGCCTGGGAGCCTGCGGAGGGGACCACCTTCCAAGTGCGCAGCCATGGCTACATGCGCAGCAAGAAGAAGGAGCCCAGCGGGCCCTGCATGTACCGGTGGGTACTGCGCATTGCGGTGCAGGCAGCTTCACCGGCACTAGCGGCCTCGCCTGCTGCCCGCCGGCACCGCTTCGGCAGCCTGCGGCTGGTATGGCGGGCCTGCCGGGCGCACGGCGCCGAGCGTGCCAGCTCACCACGCTGTGCCGTGCTGTGCTGCGCCGGCAACCCCGCGGCTGCCGCAGGCTGGTGGGGGTGGACGTGTACTCGTTTGATTTCAAGCTGTACCACATCGCGCAGCATGTGCAGGTGCGCTGCGGCTGCCAAGCAGCTGCCAGGAAGCTGCCAGGCCGCTCGCAACCCACCTGCGCTGTGGGGCGCCCTGCGCGCACACTACGGTCTTTGCATGGTTGGGGCGAGGGGTTGAGCCCCGTGCCGTCTCCCTGCTCACAGCTGCCCTCCCCCTGCCATGCGTGCGCCACCTGGCTGCCGCCGCTGCAGCTACCCGAGGTGCCGGTGGTGGGGCCGGCGGCGCAGGCGCTACCAGCCGACCAGAAGCTGCCGCCGCTGCTCATCATCAATATGCAGCTGCCCATGTATGGGGTGAGGCGGCGCTGCCCTGCCGCCGCCTGCGCCTCCCCGCTGCGCCAGGCGGTGGCGCCTGCTCCGCAGGCCAGCCACCGCTGCCGTGTGTGCTGGCATTAGCAGCAGGACTGGCGTGGTGGCGGCTGCCGGCGGAGCGCCGGACCGGGCATGTTGCCACAGCCCCTCACCCGCCCTCTCCATGCCCCGTCCTCTGTGCCTGTTCCTGTGCAGCCGAGTCTGTTTGGAGCCAACGACGGGCATGGGCACAGCCTAGTGTACTACTTTGCCCTGCCAGAGGGCTGGGAGCCCAGCCAGGCACGCGCCGCTGGCCGCCGCCGCCGCACGCGCACGCGGCTGCCCTGCTGTTGGCTCTCGCGGTTGGCTGCCGCTGGCCGGCCTTCCTGCCGCCGCTCATGCCAGCAGCAGCAGCACCTCTACCTCCCTCCGCCTCGACTCGCGGTACCTTGCCGTGTGCCGTGCCGTGCCGTATCCCCTCCCTCCCAACCCCACCCGCCGCCAGCAGGTGGAGCAGCCGGCAGCGCTGGCGCTGGTGCAGCGCTTCATGCACAACAGGCGCGAGCTGGACGGCACCCCCACCCGCGACCGCTTCAAGCTCATCCCCCGCATCGTCAACGTCGACGAGTGGGCGGAGAAGGGGCCGCTGTCAGGTGGGTGGGTGTGCAGGACGCCCGGCTGGCCACGTGGCCGGCTGGCTGCCTGGGCGGCGAGGCATGCCGGCGCCGCGCGGGGGCTGCCTGCCTGCGCAGCGCATGCCCCCCCACCCGCGCGCTGGCGCAACCACCCAGGGCCCCGTTCTGCCCCGTTCCGCCGATGTGCCCCCCGCAGGCTACGAGCACCGGCTGCTGATGAATTACAACGACAAGCCGCTGCTGACTCGCCCGCAGCAGCGCTTCTACACTGGTGTGCTTCTGAGGCTGCTGCGCACCAGACGCTCGTGAACACGCGCGCTCTCTCTCGGCACACACACATCTACACCACACCGCCCCTGCACACACGCACTCGCCACCACACCGTCCCGATACAGACACACACACACTTACCACAAACACACACTTGCACCACACCGCCGCTGCACACACACACACGCACTCGCCACCACGCCGCCCTCCTCCCCCCTCTCTCTCACCCACCACTTACCCCACCCCACCCCCACCCTAAACCCGGCCCACCCGCAGGCCCCCACTACCTGGAGATCGACCTGGATGTGCACAGCTACGCGTTTGTGGCGCGCAAGGCCTTCCACGGCTACATCCAGCGCCTGGCCCCCGTGGTCTTTGAGAACGCGTTTGTGGTGCAGGGTGAGCGAGGCGGGGGCGGGGCCGCGGGCGCAGCGCGCGGCCACCGTGCGTGCTTGTGGGGGGCCTGCTGGGCGTGGGTTTGCTGAGCGTGGGCTTGTCGAGCGTGGGTCGGCAGCGGGGGGCGTGTCGGCGACGGGCGTGGCAGGCGCGCGGCGGTCGCCTGCGCCCTCTGCTGCCGCCTGCACCGCACCGCGCCTGCCTGCCTGCGCTCTCACCCGGCCCCGGCCACGGCCCCACCCCGCCGCCGCAGGCAACCGGCCCGAGGAGCTTCCTGAGCAGGTGCTGGCGGCGGCGCGCGTGTACCGAGTAGATTTCACCAAGTCCCGTCCCTTCCCAGCCAAGTCGCTGGACGAGCTGGGCAATGGCACGGGCCCGGCGCACGACGGCGAGGCGGCGCGGCGGTGACCGCCGTCCGCCACGGCCGGCGCCGCCCAGGCTGCGCCCAGCCTGCTCGTGCCGGTGTGGTTGTTTTCAGCACCCCCTGATCACTCTCCCTCTGCTTGCTGTTGCCTGCCCCTGCCGGCTGCTCCCCCTCCGTCCCAGGCCACGCCGCACCATCTCTGTTCTGCCTCCTACCCCGCTTCTGTACGTGCTCCAACCCTGCCATGCCCACGCTGGCACCGCTGCTGCCGCCGTGCATGCGGCGGCTGGGTGCTGGCGCCGCCAGGCTCCCTACCCCGCCTCAGTACTCCCTCCATGCGACCCTGCCCACACCCTGCCCTTTTGGGCTGGCAGGGCATTTTGTTTGGCTCACTCGTACCGGCCTCCTGTATATCAATCAGTATGCGCCCGGATGTGCTGTTTGCTGGGCGGCTGACGGTGGCACCAGCGCCGCGGCTCCTGCCAAGAAGGAACTAGCTCAGGATCCAAAGTGTTTCGGCCCAACCCACAACGCAAAACGACGCATAGCTCCCGTTTCTGGCGCTCAGGCCGCCCGCAGCCGCCCAGGAGGCAGGCATGCTCGCACTGCCAATGGCGATGCGGGCCTCTGCGGTAGCCCTGGTGCTGTTATCAGTCTTCCCACAACCATCGGCGCCCCAGGAAACAATCACAGGTCGGGTGTTGTAGTGCAACCCAACACCCTGGCCTGGGCAGGACCCCTCCATCGCACACACTCATTGCCGCCCGAACAGCGCCCGGAATGGCGTCCATGGAGCAGACATTAGGCATTGTGCGAGTCCGAGGGGTACCGAACACGGCCGCTGACAGGCCTGTCTGTCCCCGCCACCGCCGCCGCCCTCTGCCGCCGCTGCAGGGAAGACTGTGCTGCTGGCAATCGGCTACCCCCCAGGCATCCCATCCAGGCAGTGAGTGACTGGCAGTGCAGCAAGGATGGACGCGTGAGGCCCTGGCAGTACAGTTGAGGATGCAATGGCTGTCGGGAGCGACCCCAAGCCCAAGCCACCGTTGCGCCACCGCTTGGTGCCGCCCGCAGGGCGCTCTTTGTCAAAACCACAGACATCCAGCGGGTGCACGTGCTCGTGTACAACTCCACAAGCGGAGACCTGCCCGCCAGCTGGTTCCCAGGCATCACAACTGGCATGGACATCAAGCTGAGCGGCACATGGCTGAGCAGAGGCCCAAACAGCAGCGGCGACGGGCAGCAATCCCGCCGCAGCAGCAGCGGCCGCGGCGGCCAGAGCAGCGCAGCAGGCAAGGCGGCGCAGCGATACCCCTACCAATATAATGTGCGCTCAGCCTACTGCTTCCTGGGGAATGAGATGAAGGTTTCAGGAGGGCACAAGTCCAAGCCAGTGATTGAGCGTGAGTGGAGACAGCCGGCTCGGCCTGCTGCAAACGCCTCTCCCTCAGCAAAGCCCCCGCGTGTGCATGCATGGCCATGGCACAGCCGCTGCATGGCCGCTGAGCATCCTGAGCAGCCGTCGGCGCAACACTGCATGCCCTCGCCTGCGCTGCTGCTGCAGGCGGCAAGAAGAAGCGCAAGGTCAAAGCCATGGCGGCAGCAGCGGCGGGTGGCGGCGATGATGCTGTGCAGGCAGCCATAGCATACAGCACCAACCCCTGGATCACTTCCGGCGACATGTCAACCTCGTCGTGCCAAGTGAGGCCTCCTGCAGGGAGCACCGCTGACGCACATCCTGTGCATCTCAACACAGCTTTGGTTCTTGCCGCTGCAGCAGCAGCCCAACAGCCCCACATCACCGCTGCTCCTGCCTCCTCCACGCTGCCCTGCAGTCGCCAGCAGGCAGCCCAACGGCAGCGCCTGCCCCGCAACCGGCCTGCCCAAGTTCAACGTCAGCCAGGATCGGCGGGCGGTGTTTGCGGAGCTGAACCCCAGGGGACCCGCCGTGGGCGGCACCTTTAGCCAGTGCTCCTATGGCAAGAGCAGGCTGACGTTGAACAGCCAGGTGGTGGACAAAGTGGAGCTGCCCTGCAACGGCCCCACGTGAGTGTAGCAGGGCTGTGTGGGGACGGGCAGGAGAGCATGCACCGCCGCTGTTTGCTGCCGTTGTGCAGCGTCACCAGCCTGCAGCGCAAGCAGCGGCGGTGGGCCCTGACCCTTGCAATCCTGCTGCAGCTTTGGTATCTTGGGTCTTTTCTAAATGCGACTTTGATGACTTCAACGGCTGGGCGGATGCCGCCGACCAGAAGCTGGCAGCAGCAGGCGTCAACCTGACGCAATTCAAACACAGGTGGGCTCGAGGCAGGCGCCCGCAGCACCCCGCCCTCTTCTCTCCAGTTTGCTTGCGGCGAAAGGCCCCTGCCATGCCATCATCCGATCGTGCCTGTTGCCTGCTCTGCAGGGTGTATCTGATCCCGCCATCGGCCTGCGGCTTTGTGGGCCTGGCATACATCGGCTGCGACGGCAGCTTCGAGTGCCGCGCCTGGATCAGCAGCGACCTCTGGACCACGCCGCAGGTGCGTGGGGCAGTGCTGGCAGCTGGTGGGGTGCCCCATGCAAGGCCTGCATGTCCCTGCTGCAGGGTGTGTGTCAGGCGGGGACTGATAGTCATGACAGCCGCCGACAGCCGCTGTGGGCACACCTGCCTCTTTGCCCCGTCCCTCATTCAGGCGTATGTGCATGAGCTGGGACACCACACCTTCCTGGCCCATGCGAGCACCACACGGAAAGACGGCTCGGTTGATGAGTGAGTCGCGGCTGGCTGTGGCGCCAGCGCCCTCGGCGCCCTTTGGCCAGGGATGAGCAGGGCCTGCTGCGCCGCTGCTGCTGCTGCGCGCGCCATCCCCGCGCTGTGCTCTGCTGCGCCGTGCCCGCTCGCTTCCTTGCCACCCAGCCAGGAGGCTCTCCTCCCCCCCGACTGCTTTAGGTATGGCGACTTCACTTCCTCCATGGGCTACTGCTGCGTCGACCGCTGCCCCAACATGCCCCAGGCGTGGCAACTGGGCTGGGCCCCCCTGCAGCAGCTGTCGGGAGCCACCCTGAGGCCGGGCACCACGGTGCAGGTGCAGCTGGCCAGCCAGTCGAACCCTTCCTCCCGCCCGACAGGCCCCAGCGGCGTGCGCGTCGTGGCCAACTGGACCGCAGGGGTGGACCCCATTTTCGCCGGCCTGCGCAGCAGGACCGGCGGCGACCTCGCCCTCGACCCTTCCTACTCCAACCGTATCAACCTGTATTCCTCTGCTAGCACCAACACTTACGATGCCAGGCCCTCGATGTGGAGGGCGGGCCTGGCCGGTGAGCTGCCAGCGGCTGTGGTGCTCCTTGCGTGGCTCAGCTGCCGACAGCAGGCTGTCGATGGCTGCGCATGCAGCCCTTGCGCACTAGCAGAGGGCAGCGCTGCCACGCCGCGTCTGATGTGGGATCCCTGCCCTGATGCCTGCAGTCAACCAGTCGTGGGAGGCCCCCGGCGCCAACCTGACCATCCGCCTTCGGGGTTTTGCCAGCGGCATTGCGCTCGTCAGCGTGTGCCGCAGAGCGGGCATGCATATGCAGCCAGTACCGCATCCCCCACCACACACTGGCTGGCTTCCCCCTGAATAGGGGGGACTCTTTACCTGACGCCACCGCACCCAAACACTTTGGGAAGTTGCTTCTCTCCTCCCGGGAGCCAAACAGCGCATCCAGGGAAGAGCGTCTAGCGTCTGGACATGAACGCCGTGTTGAGGCTGGTGTGGGTGGGGACGCTCCTTCTGCTCTGCAACGGAGCTCGAGCACGGGAGTTGTTCGCCAAACAAGTCCGCGGTGAGAATAATAATGATGGGCAGGACGCGGCCTGTTTGTTTGTTGAGCGCTGCCTTGCACACTTGTGGCCACACATACACCGCTGCGGTCGCGCAACTTTGCAGCGGGCTCCGCCCCTACAGCGCGCTGACCCTGTGCCCGCCGCCGCCGCCGCCGCCGCCGCCGCCGCCCGCAGGCAAGGCGATTGTGCTGGCTCGAAACTACCGGCGCGGCAAGCCTGCCCTGCAGTAAGTCCCTTGCTGAAGGCACAAGTCGGCGCGCACGGCAATTGTGCTGCATTCCGGCGCCTGTGGCGCTGCCGTCGCCAGTGCCCGATTGCGCCGCCACATATATATCCTGGCACACCCTCTGCAGGTCCCTGTTCATCCGGACAAAGACCGGCAAGCGGGTGCACATCTTTTTCGGCAATGAGACTCGCTACCCGGGCATCACCACTGGGATGGACATCCTGCTGGATGGCACGTGGCTGAGCCGGGGAGCGGGAGATGCCCAGGCGGCGGCGGCGGCGCACGCCGCGGCGCACGCAGCGGCGGCCGGCGACGGCCTGCCCGCCGCGCAGTCAGCCATCTGCGTCTGGGGCAAAAAGATGAGGGTGTCCGGGCGCCGCAAAACCAAGCCCATCATCCAACGTGAGCACCAACGCTTGCCGCAACCAGCAGCAAGCTGTCCCCTGCTGAAGCCTGGCGATCAGCCTTTCCAAACACACAGCTTGCGGCCAGCTGGTGCTGTGTGCATGCACATGCCTGGCGTGAAGGGCTGCCCTGCCACATGTCCAGTCTTGCTGTGCTGCCCCGGGCTGTTGCAGGCGGCACGGTCCGCGCGGCCGTGGCGTCTGGCGCCGGCGACGACCCCGTGCAGACCGTCGGGGTGCTCAGCACCAACCCGCAGCTCACCTCCACCGACATGAGCACACTCTTTGTGCCAAGTGAGGGCGCACCTTGCCTCGCTGCTGTGGTTTGCTGCCCTGCCGCCTACCGCCCGCTCTCCTGCCCGCTGCCAGCCTCCACACCTTCCTCTTCCTGCCATCAGTGCTGGGTTTTCATCTGCAAGCTGCTGCGCTCCGCCTCCGTCTGCAGTTGCCGGCAGGCAGCCCGACGGCAGCGCCTGCCCCAACGCGGGCCTACCCAAGTTCAACGCCAGCCAGGTCAGGCAGGCGGTGTTTGCGGAGCTGAACCCCAGGGGGGCCACCGTGGGCGGCACCTTCAGCCAGTGCTCCTACGGCAAGAGCAGGCTGACGATGAAGAACAGCCTGGTGGTGGACACTGTGGAGCTGCCCTGCAACGGCACCACGTGAGCGAGCCTGGTGGCGCATGGGTGGAGGGCACGACATGCGAGTGTGCCAGGGGGCGCAGGATGCATGCATGCCATGGTGTGCCGCTCCGTCATCCTGCTGCCGGAAGGGTGCCTGAGGCAGCAGGCCAGGCCTCCTCCCCTGCCTGCAGCTTCGACGTGCCCTGGACGTTCTCCAAGTGCGATTTCGACGACTTCAACGGCTGGGCGGATGCGGTGGACCAGAAACTGATTGCCAGCGGCCTCGACCTCTCCAAATACTTCCACAGGTGGGGCTCCGGCCCGTGCCACCCGCGCCAGCGGCTCCCAGGCGCATGGCGCCTGAGCGTGCTGCTGCCTGCCGCCACGCTGTAGGGTCTACATGGTGCCGCCAGGGCCCTGTACCTTTGTCGGCCTAGCCTACATCGGCTGCGACGGCTCCTTTGAGTGCCGCGCCTGGATCGCGGGCGACGTGTGGACCACAACGCAGGTGCAGGGGGCGCCCCAGCTGTGTGGCATGGCGCTCCCGGCATCCGCCAGCCAGCTGCGGCACCGTCTCTAATGCTGGGTTTCCCTATTGCTGTGTATCGCAGGCCATTGTGCATGAGCTGGGACATCATCTCTACTTGGGCCACTCTGGATTGCTGACTACCCAGGGGAACCTTGACGAGTGAGTCCAGCCTGTGCCTGCTCTGCAGTACCTCCAGTGCCACCACCAGCAGCAGCGCGCCTAGGTTATAGTCCGCTGATGACAGCTCAGCATTTGCCCGGCAGGCAGCCAGGTGCCGGGCTGGCAGGAGGGCCACCCACACGTCTCGCCCATGGGTGCCGCTCACTGCACAGCCCGCCCCACAGAGCCCATGCGCTGGCGTGCCCCTGCCTCCTGCAGGTATGGCGACTCGTCGAGCCTGATGGGCTTCTGCGAGGACCGCTGCCCCACCACTCCCCAGATGTGGCAGCTGGGCTGGGGCCAGGTGGTGCAGCTGGACAGCAAGAGCCTAAGGCCGGGCGTCACGGTGCAGGTTCAGCTGGTCAGCCAGTCCGACCCTTCCTCCCGCTTGCTTGTGTGGGCTTAAAGTCTGGTAAAGCAAGAACTAGCTTGCAACATAGACTCCCCGCCGAAACGGGACGGGAACCGGGCGAAAGCAGAGAAAGCAATAAAACAGGGGTGGAGCAAGGCGACATGCAACGCAAGCAGCTGACAGGGCACGCATCGAAACGTGTGTATGACTGGCAAAGTGGCATGGCGCATTGGGGAGAAACGCAACGGTACGGGAGCATGGGCTGGCCAAACGGCAGTGCGGAACGCTAGGTCACTAGAAAAGCAGGGAAAGGCGCACTATGTATGCAATGAGGGCAGCCCCGGCTCGGGGCCGTTGAGAAAGCAGTGGGCGGGAGGGGGGAGGCCCCGGTGTGGGCGGGCCCCATCGAGGGGGGATGGGGCGCGCAAGCGGCCAGATGGGGCGGGGCGCGGGCGGCAGTAGAGTCCTGCGGCTGGGTGGGATATAGGGCAATGAGCGTTGAGCAGTGTG